TGTCCCAAAAATTCCCCCAAAATTCCTCAAAATTCCCCTAAATCCCCCCAAAACTCCCTCAGGGCCCCCAAATTCCCTTCAAAATCCCCAAAATTCCTCAAAATTCCAAAAAATTCCCAAAAAAGTTCCCTGAAATGTCCCAAAAATTCCCCTAAAATTCCCTCAGGATCCCCAAATTCCCCCAACGTTCCCAAAAAATTCCCCCAAAACCCCAAATTCCCCCCAAAATTCCCTCAAATGTCCCAAAAATCCCAAAATATCCCCCCCAAAATCCCTTAAAATTCTCCTAAATTCCCCCCAAAATCCCCCAAATTCCTCAAAATTCCCAAAAATTCCCTGAAATGTCCCAAAAATTCCCCCAAAATTCCCTCAGGGCCCCCAAATTCCCCCCAAAATCCCCCAAATTCCCCCTAAATTCCCAAAAATTCCCTGAAATGTCCCAAAAATTCCCCCAAAACTCCCTCAGGGCCCCAAATTCCCCCAACATTCCCAAAAATTCCCCCAAAACTCCCCCAAAACCCCAAATTCCCCCCAAAAATTCCCTGAAATGTCCCAAAAATCCCAAAATATCCCCCCCAAAATCCCTTAAAATTCCCCCAAATCCCCCCAAAACTCCCTCAGAGCCCCAAATTCCCCCTAAATTCCCAAAATTCCCAAAAAGTTCCCTGAAATGTCCCAAAAATTCCCCTAAAATTCCCTCAGGACCCCCAAATTCCCCCCAAAATCCCCAAAATTCCTCAAAATTCCCCAAAAGTTCCCTGAAATGTCCTAAAAATTCCCCCAAAACTCCCTCAGGACCCTCAAATTCCCCCAACGTTCCCAAAAATTCCCCCAAAACCCCAAATTCCCCCAAAAATTCCCTGAAATGTCCCAAAAATTCCCCCAAATTCCCAAAAATTCCCCCCAAAATCCCTTAAAATTCTCCTAAATGTTCCCAAAATTCCCATAAATTCCCTGAAATGTCCCAAAAATTCCCCCAAAACTCCCTCAAAACCCCAAATTCCCCCCAAAATCCCCAAAATTCCCAAAAATTCCCAAAAAAATTCCCTGAAATGTCCCAAAAATTCCCCCAAATTCCCAAAAATTCCCCCCAAAATCCCTTAAAATTCCCCTAAATTCCCCCAAAACTCCCTCAGGGCCCCAAATTCCCCCAAAATTCCCCCCAAAATTCCCAAATTTCCATTCCGGGCAGTCCCGGCCCCTCCCCCCATCCCAAAATATCCGCGGCCCCTCCCCCACCCCCCCCTGACCCCCCCGGGCCGGATTCAACCTTGAAAGAGCCAAAAATTCCCAAAAATTCCCAAAATTCGCCCCAAAATCCCCCAAATTCTCCCCCAAATGGGCCAAAATCCCCCTCAGGTGATCCCAGAATTCCCAAAAATCCAAAAATTGGCCCCAAAAAAGCCCCACGTGACCCCCCCCCCCACCTTCAAACCCCAAATTTATTCCAAAATGTCCCAAATTTATCCCAAAATATCCCAAATTTACCCCAAAATGTTCCAGACTATCCCCAAATATGCAAAAATATTCTGAATTAATCCCAAAATATCCCAAAATGTCCCAAATTATCCCCAAATATTCCAAAATATTCTGAATTTATCCCAAAATGTCCCAAATTTATCCCAAGATGTCCAAAATTATCCCAAAATCACCTGAATTTACCCCAAAATATCCCGAATTTATCCCAAAATATCCCTAATTATCCCAAAATATCCCAAAATATTCTGAATTTATCCCCAAAATATCTCAAATTATCCCAAATTTACCCCAAAATGTCCCGAATATATCCCCCAATTATCCCAATATATCCCAAAATATTCTGAAATATTCTGAATTTATCCCCAAATTACTCCAAAATATCCCGAATTTACCCCAAAGTGTCCTAAATTATCCCAATATATCCCAAAATATTCTGAATTTATTCCAAATTTATCCCAAAATATCCCGAATTTACCCCAAATTATCCCAAATTTATCCCAAAAATCCCCCAAAATTCCCAAAAAATTGCCCCAAAATTCTCAAAAAAGCCCCCAAAAAGTCTCGGTTCCATTCCCGTTATCCCGTTATCCCGTTATCCATCCCCGTTATCCCATTTGCATTTTCCCGGTTCCATTCCCGTTATCCCGGTTCCATTCCTGGTTTTCCTCTCCCTTTATCCCGTTCCATTCCCGTTATCCCATTCCCGTTATCCCGGTTCCATTCCCGTTATTCCGGTTCCGTTCCCGGTTCCATTCCCGTTATCCCGTTATCCCATTCCATTCCCGTTATCCCATTTGCATTTTCCCGGTTCCGTTCCTGTTATCCCCGTTCCATTCCCGGTTTTCCCCTCCTGGTTCCCGTTCCATTCCCGTTATCCCATTCCCGTTATCCCGTTCCCGTTATCCCGTTCCATTCCCTTTATCCGGTTCCATTCCCGTTATCCCGTTCCCGTTCCATTCCCGGTTTTCCTCTCCCGTTATCCCGTTCCCGTTATCCCGTTCCATTCCCGGTTTTCCATCCCCGTTATCCCGTTCCATTCCCGGTTTTCCATCCCCGTTATCCCGTTCCCGTTATCCCATTCCCGGTTCCATTCCCGGTTTTCCCCTCCTGTTATCCCGTTCCATTCCCGGTTTTCCATCCCCGTTATCCCGTTCCCGTTATCCCATTCCCGGTTCCATTCCCGGTTTTCCCCTCCCGTTATCCCATTCCCGGTTCCATTCCCGTTATCCCATTCCCGGTATCCCGTTCCATTCCCGTTTTCCCGGTTCCATTCCCGTTATCCAGTTCCCGTTATCCCGTTCCCGTTAACTCCGCTCCATCCCCATTATCCCGGTTCCATTCCCGGTTCCATTCCCGGTTTTCCTCTCCCGTTATCCCGTTCCATTCCCGTTAACTCCGCTCCATTCCCGTTATCCCGTTCCGTTCCCGTTATCCCGTTTGCATTTTCCCGGTTCCATTCCCGGTTCCATTCCCGGTTCCATTCCCGTTATCCCATTCCCGTTATCCCATTTGCATTATCCCGGTTCCATTCCCGTTATCTCCGTTCCATTCCCGTTATCCCATTCCCATTTTTCCTCTCCCGTTATCCCATTCCCGTTATCCCGGTTCCATCCCCGTTATCCCATTCCCGGTTCCATTCCCGTTATCCCGTTCCCGTTATCCCGGTTCCATTCCCGTTATCTCCGTTCCATTCCCGTTATCCCATTCCATTCCCGTTCCGTTCCCGTTCCCCCTCCCGGTTCCCCCCGGTACTCACGGTGCGGACCTGCCTCCGCAGCAGGTACAGCACGAAGCTCCAGAGTTTGGCGGCGAAGGCCACGAAGGAGCGGAGACCGAGCAGGCACTGACTGCGCATCATCCCGGTACCGGCCCCGGTACCGGCACCGGCCGCGCCGCCGCGCTCCGCCAGCTCCGCCTCCGCCGCTCCGCCGCCGCCTGCGGCCCGCCCCGGCTCGGGGGGCGCTGCCGGGGCCCGGCCCGGGGCCGCTCGGGGGCTCCGCGGCCTCACCGGGGCTCCACCGGGGCCGCCACCGGCGCCGCCATCGCCGCCATCGCCCGGCGGCACTTCCGGTAGCGGCACTTCCGGCAGCGGCACTTCCGGCAGCAGCACTTTCGGCAGAGGCACTTCCGGCAGCGGCACTTCCGGCAGCGGCACTTCCGGGGCACGCACCACGCACGGGGGGCGTGGTTATATCACCATTCACACCAATGGAGAGGGCGTGGCTTAGGCAAAGGGGCGTGGCCTCTAATAACGATAGTTAATATAAGTATTGTGTCTGTGGGCGTGGTTATGTAAATTAAGTGAAACAGCGTTGCTATAGTAAAAAGCAGGCGGTGATTGACGGCGCTTTATGTAAATGAAGGGGCGTGGTTTCTGTCCGCGGGATGGTAATACTGAAATGATTGGCAGCTCGTTTATGTAAATTAGGGGCGTGGTTTTCGCTGTTGGAATGAATACACGTGGAGTGATTGGCAGCTCGTTTATGTAAATTAGGGCCGTGGTTTTCGCTGTGTGAATGAATACACGTTGAGTGTCTCTCGGGGGGCGCTGCCGGGGCCGGGCCCGGGGCCGCTCCGGAGCTCCGCGGCCTCACCGGGGCTCCACCGGGGCCGCCACCGGCGCCGCCATCGCCCGGCGGCACTTCCGGCAGCGGCACTTCCGGGGCACGCAGCCACGCACGGGAGGCGTGGTTATACAAATGAAAAGGGCGTGGCTTCCACAGATGGGCGGAGCCTCTAAAAACGCGGCTCAATGGAAGGGGTGTGGCTATGGGCGGGGCTATGCAAATAACCAGGCCAGCGCGTATAATAATGAGTGGGCGGGGCTTGACGCCGCCGTTATGGAAATAAGGAGGCGTGGTTTAGGCAGTTAGGGGAAAGTATTGGCTGTATGTAAATGAGGGGCGTGGTTTCAGCCGTGGGAATGAATAGCCGAGGGGTGATTGACAGTTTGGCATTTTCCCCCTAAAATTGGGATTTTTTTCACCCTAAAATTGCGATTTTTTTCTCTCTAAAATTGGGATTTTCCCCAAAAAATCTGAGATTTTTTTTCCCTCCAAAATTTGGGATTTTTCCCCCCTAAAAATGGGAATTTTCCCCTAAAATTGGGACTTTTTTCTCTCTAAAATTGGGATTTTTTTTCTCTCTGAAACTGGGATTTTCCCCCCAAAATTTGGGATATCCCCCCCTAAAATGGGATTTTTCCCTCCAAAATTTGGATTCTTTCCCCTAAAATTGGGATTTTTTTTTCTCCCTAAAAATTGGACATTTTTTCTTTCTAAAATTGGAATTTTTTTCCCCTAAAATTGGGATTTTTTTTCTCCCCAAAATTTGGGATTTTCCCCCCTAAATTGGGATTTCTTTTCGCTGTAAAATTGGGAATTTTTTTCCCAAAATTTGGGATTTTCCCCCCTAAATTTGAATTTTTTTTCCTCTCTAAAATAAGTTTGTTTTCGCTGTAAAACTGCGATTTTTTTTCCCAAAATTTGGGATTTTTACCCCAAAACGACCACGGGAGGGTGGGGGAGGAGCAGCTCCTTTATTGGGGTCCCAAATTCGGGGATTTTCCCCCCAAATTTGGGGTTCCGGGGGGGGGTCACAGCTCCAGGTCCTCGTCGGGGTCCTCGAAGTCCTCGGGGGGCGGCTCGGGGTCGCTCCTGGAAATTTGGGGAAAATTTGGGAGATTTTGGGAAAAATTAGAAAAATTATTGGGGAAATCTGGAAAATTTGGGGGAATTTTGGGGGGAATTTTTGGGAAGAATTTCAGGGATTTTTGGTGGATTTTGGGGGGATTTATGGGGATTTTTTGCAAATTTTGGGGAATTTTTGGGGAATTTTTGCAAATTTTGGGGGATTTTTGGGGAATTTTTGCAAATTTTCGAGGATTTTTCGGGAATTTTGGAGGGATTTCAGGAGGAATTTTGGGGTGGATTTTTGGGAGGAATTTCAGGGATTTTGGGGGAATTTTTGGGGGGATTTTACCAAATTTTCGGGGAATTTTGTGAGGATTTTTGGGCAATTTCAGGAGGAATTTTGGGGTGAATTTTTGGGAGGAATTTCAGGAATTTTGGGAGGATTTTTGGGGGCATTTTACCAAATATTTGGGCATTTTTGAAGGGGATTTTGGGGCAATTTTGGGAGGATTTGGGGAGGAATTTTGGGCATTTTTTGGGGTGATTTTGGGGGATTTTGGGCGATTTGGGGAGGATTTTTAGGGGGGTTTTTGAGGAGGGATTTCAGATATTCTTGGTGGATTTTTGGGGTGATTTCGGGGGATTTTGGGGGGATTTGGGGAGGATTTTTAGGGGGATTTTTGAGGAGGAATTTCAGGGATTTTTGGCGGATTTTTGGGGTGATTTTGGGTGGATTTTTGGATGATTTGGGGAGGATTTTTAGGGGATTTTTGAGGAGGGATTTCAGGGGTTCCTGGCAGATTTTTGGGGTGATTTTGGGGGATTTTGGGGCGCCCCAAACTCACCTGAGCAGGTACGGGGGGGTCAGGGCCGCCCTCGCCGCCCACTCGGCCCCCGACAGCCCCAGGCGGAAGGTCAGGGGGGTCCCCCCAAAATTTGGGGATTTTTGGGGCTTTTTGGGCTCCCCCCAATTTGGGGAGGGGTCTCCGGGGGTCGGGGGGGGCTCGGCCTGGGGGGGCCCCCCCAAGGAGCCGTCGGGGAGGAGGGTCAGGGTCTCCTGGGGGGAGGGGAGAGACCAAAATCAGCCAAATTCACCCCAAAATCAGCCCAAATTCACCCCAAAAATCGGCCCAAAATCACCCCAAAATCAGCCCAAAAATCGGCCCAAAATCATCCCTGAAATCAGCCCAAATTCACCCCAAAATCAGCCCAAATTCACCCCAAAATCAGCCCAAATTCACCCCAAAATCAGCCCAAAATCACCCAAAATTGACCCAACTTCAACCCAAAATTCACCCCAAAAATCGCCCCAAATTCACCCCAAAAATCGGCCCAAAAATCGGCCCAAATTCACCCCAAAATGAGCCCAAATTCAGCCCAAGATCAGCCCAAATTCACACAAAAATCAGCCCAAAGTAACCCAAAAATCAGCCCAAATTCACCCCAAGATCACCCCAAATTCACACCAAAATCCTCCCAAAATTCACCCCAAAACTCACCCCAAAAATCAGCCCAAATTCACCCCAAATTTAGCCCGAAAATCAGCCCAAATTCACCCCAAAATCAGCCCAAATTCACCCCAAAATCAGCCCAAATTCAGGGCAAAGTCACCCCAAATTCATCCCAAAAATCAGCCCAAATTCACCCCAGAATCTCTCCAAATTTATCCTCAAATCCACCCCAGAAATACCCCAAATTAACCCCAAAAGTCACCCCAAAATCAGCCCAAAAATCACCCCAAATTTACCCTCAAAGTCACCTCCCACTCACCCCAAAATTCACCCCCAGAATAGCCCAAATTCACCCCAAAATCCCCTCCAAACATCCAGGATCCCCGAAATCCCCCCCAGAAGCCCCCAAAATCCCCTTTAAATCCCCCAAATCCCCTTTAAATCCCCCAAACCCCCCCAAAATGTGCCCAGGACCCCCCAAAGTCCCCCCAGGACCCCCAAAAACCCCCCCAAAATCCCCTTTAGACCCCTCAGGACTCCCCAAAATCCCCCCAGGACCCCCAAAATCCCCTTTGAATCCCCCAAAATCCTCCAGGACACCCCAAAATCCCCCCCCAGGACCCCCAAAATCCCCTTTAAATCCCCCAAAAAGCCCAAAAATCCCCTTTAAATCCCCCAGGACCCCCAAATTCTCCCCACCTGGAGGGGTCCCCCCCCTTTCTGGGGGTCCCGGAGCAGCCGCAGCCTCCGGGGGGCTCCGGGGGTCTCGGGGGGCCCCCCCAGGATCAGCTGGGCCCGGGCGAGACCCCCGAGAGCCCCCAAAAGGTGGGGGGGGTGCAGCTCCTGGTGCAGCAGCGCCACAATTCGGGGAGGGGGATCTGGGGGGGGAATTGGGGAACCCCAAAATCGCCTCGAAATTCATCAAAATACCCAAAAAAAACCCCAAAAAAACCCCCCAAAAAAACCCCAAAATCACCTCGAAATTCCTCAAAAGCCCCGAAAAAAAAAAACCCAAAAAAACCCCAAAATTCCCCCAAAAAAATCTTCGGAGAAACATCCGGGAATTACAGAAATACCCCCAAAAGTCACCCCGAAATTCACCCCAGAGCCCCAAAATCCTCCCCAAATCACCCAGGAGCCCCCAAATCGTACCCCAAAATCTCCCCAAATTTCCCCCAAATCCCCCCAAACCCTCCCCAAATTGCCACAGATTTCCCCCAAAATCCCCCCAAAACCCCCCAAACCCCCAAAAATCTTCAAAATCCCCCCAAACCCCCAAAAACCCCCAAAATCCCCCCAAAATCCCGAAACCCTCCCCAAAATCTGGCCCCAAACCCCAAAAATCCCCCCAAAACCCCCAAATACCCCCCAAACCCCCAAAAATCCCCAAAATATCCCCCAAAAACCCCTCGAATCCCCCCAAAATCCCAAAACCCTCCCCAAAAACCCCCCAAATCCCCCCAAACCCCCAAAATCCCTCCAAATTTACCCCAAACCCCCCCAAAATCCCCCCAAAATTTTGAAACCCTCTCGAAAATCTCCCCAAAAATCCCCCCAAAAACCCCCAAATCCCCCCAAAAATCCCCAAAACCCATCAAATCCCCCTAAAATCCCAAAATCCCCCTAAAAATCCCCCAAAACCCCCCAAACCCCCAAAATCCCTCCAAATTTACCCCAAAACCTCCCCAAATCCTCCCCAAATTCCCCCAAAATTTCCCCCAAACCCCCCAAATTTCTCCCAAATCCCCAAAATCCCCTCAAAACCCCTCTGAACCCCCCCCAAAATCCCCCCAAAAGCCCTCTGAATCCCCCCCAAAATCCCCCTAAACCCCCCCCAAACCCTCGTCAAACCCCTCAAATCCCCCCAAAATTCCCCCAAACCCCCCAAATCACCCCCAAACCCCCCCCAAAACCCCCCAAAACTCCCCCAAACCCCCCCAAATCCCCCCAAAACCCCCCAAAACCCCTCTGAATCCCCCCCAAACCCCCCAAAATCCCCCCCAAACCCCCAAATTTCCCCCAAACTCCAGCCCCAAACCCCCAAATTTCCCCCAAATCCCCCCAAATCCCCCCAAACCCCCCCCAAACTCACCTTTTCGGGGTGCCCCCCCCAGCAGCGCCCCGAGGCGGCGGCAGAGGTGGGGGAGGGGCTCCCGCAGCAGCGCCCAACTCAGCGAGTCCAACAGCAGCACCGGGGCGGGGGAGGGGAGACCCCCCAAAACCCCCCCAAAAATCCCCCCCGGGCCTGGGGGGGCCCGGCCCAGCCAGCCCAGGGGGTCCCCGAAAAGGTCCTGGAACTGCAGCCTGGAAATTTTTGGGGGGATTGGGGGGATTTTGGGGGGATTTGGGGGGAATTTTGGGGGTTTTGGGGGGATTTGGGGGGATTTTGGGGGGATTTGGGGGGAATTTTGGGGGGTTTTGGGGGGTTTGGGGGGATTTTGGGGGGGGGTTTAGAGATTTTGGGGGTTTTGGGGGGATTTTGGGGGGTTTTGGGGGGATTTTGGGGGGATGTTGGGGGGATTTCAGGGTTTTTTTGGGGGGGTTTAGAGATTTTGGGGGATTTGGAGGGGGATTCAGGGTTTTTTTGGGGGGTTTGGAGGGATTTTGGGGGATTTTGGGGGGTTTTGGGGGGATTTGAGGGGAATTCGGGGTTTTTTTGGGGGGAGGTTAGGGATTTTGGGGGTTTTGGGGGGAATTTGGGGGGATTTAGGAATTTGGGGGGGATTTGAGGGTGATTCAGGGGGTTTTGGGGGGGATTTACAGATTTTGGGGGGATTTTGGGGGGATTTGGGAGGATTTTAGGGGGATTTGAGGGGATTTGAGGGGGATTCGGGGTTTTTTTTGGGGGTTTACAGATTTTGGGGGGTTTGGGGGGATTTTGGGGGAATTTGAGGGAGTTTAGGGATTTTGGGGACATTTGGGAAGAATTTGAGGGGGATTCAGGGTTTTTAGAGGTTTTTGGGGTGGTTTTGGGGTGGATTTTGGGGGATTTCAGGGTGTTTTGGGGTGGTTTTGAGGGTTTTTGGGGTGGATTTTGAGGTGGTTTTTGGGGTTGTTTTTAGGGGGTTTTTGGGAAATTTCACGGTGTTTTGGGGTGGTTTTTGGGGGGTTTTAGGGTGGTTTTGGTGTGATTTTTTGGGAGGTTTCAGGGTGGCTTTTGGGTGTTTTTTGGGCTGGTTGTTGGCCTGGTTTTGGGGTGGTTTTTGGGGTGGTTTTTGGGGAGTTTTGGGGTGGATTTTGGGGTGTTTTCGGGGTGTTCTGGGCTCACCTCTCCCTGACGTGGGGGTTCAGCCCCTCCTGGAACTGCTCCCGGGGCACCTCCAGGAGCACCACGAGAACCTGCTCGGCCCTGGGGGGGAATTTGGGGGTTCGGAGCCCTTCGGGACCCCCAAAAAACACCCAAAACCACCCAAACCCCCTAAAAACTCCCCAAAACCACCTCAAAACCCCCTAAAAACTCCCAAAAACTCCCCAAAAACCACCCCAAAACCCCCAAAACCACCCAAAACCCCCTAAAAGCTCCCAAAAAACCCCCAAAGCCCCCTAAAAACTCCCAAAACCACCCCAAAAACCAACAAAAATACCCCAAAACCTCTAAAATCTCCAAAAACCACCAAAAACCCGGCCAGATCCACCCCAGAAACCCCCAAAAATCTCCCAAATCCCCCAAAATTCCCCAAATCCCCCCGAAAACTCCCAAATTCACCCAAAAATTCCCCAAATCCCCCCAAATCCCCCCCATAATCCCCCAAATTCACCCCAAAATTTCCCCAGAATCCCCAAAACCCTCAACATTTCCCCAAATCTCGCAAATCCCCCCCAAATCCCCCAAAATCTCCCCGAAATCCCTGACAGGCCCCCAAAATTCCCCAGAATCCCCAAAATTTCCCCCAAATCCTCCAAAATCTCCCCGAAATCCCCTGAGAGCCCCCAAAATCCCCCTGAAATCTCCCCAAATCCCCCAAATCTTCCCCATAATTTCTTAAATTCCCCCCAAAATTTCCCCAAATCCTCCAAAATCTCCCCGAAATCCCCCCAAAATCCCCAAATTTCCCCAAATTTCCCTCACCTGGCCACGGCCTCGCTGGCGATCGCCCTCAGGAGGCTCCGACCCTCGGACCCGACATTGTCTGAGGGGGGAAAATGGGTGAGACCCCCAAATTCCAGACCCCCAAAATACCCCAAAAAATCCCCCAAAAATTCCCCCAAAAATCCCCCCCAAAATCCCTCAAAAATCCCCAAAAAATCCCCCAAAAATCCCTCAAAAATCCCCTCAAAAATCCCCCAAAAACACCCAAAAACCCCCAAAAATCCCCTCCAAACCCCCCACCCCGCACCCTCCAACCCCTCCAAACCTTCAGCGCCCCCAAAAAATCCCCAAAAATCCCCAAATTCGCCCCAAAATTCTCGCGCACCAATGACGAGCAGCAGCCCCCCGCGGCCCAGCGCCTCCAGCATCGTCGCGCGGCGCCTCCCGATGACGTCACGAGCGGAAATGGCCGCCGCCATTCCCCCGCGCGACACCGCTGTACGGAAACGGGAGCCGCCATGATTGTTCCGGCGCCTCCGTGATGACGCAAGCGGCGCAGATGTGATGTCATCGTACGGCGGAGCGCGCCGCCATGATGGAAAAGGGGAATTTGGGGGAATTTTGGGGTTTTTTGGGGTTTCCGGGTTGGATTTTGCCTCAAATCCTCGAATTTGGATAAAAAGGGGAAAGCGGGTGGGAAAAAAGCTAAAAAAAAAGCGGAAAAAAGCGGGAAAAATCCCGGAGTCCGTTCCGGGTCGGGCGCCGCCATTGCCACGGGAGGCAATTGATGGGAATTCCCGAAATTCCCAATTTTCCGTGAATTTTCCCTTTTCTTTCACCCTTTTCCCGCCTTTTTGGGAAAGGATGGATTTTTAGGGGGATTTTTGGGGCAATTTTGGGGATCACAGCGGAGTTTTGGGGATCTCTGATGGGTTTTGGGGAAGTTTAGGGGAGATTTTGGGGTCTAAAATGGATTTGTGGGGGGATTTTGGGGCCTCAGATGGAATTTTTGGGGGAATTTTGGGGAGATTTTTGGGGTCTCCGATGGATTTTGGGGGTCTCAGAGTGTGGAGAGATGAGCACCCAAATTTTGGGGGCCTCAAGAGGTTCCAGATCCCAAATTTGGGGTCCCAGGAGCTCAAAGAGCCAAATTTTGGGAATCTCAGACCCAAATTTGGGGTTCTGGGGGTTCAAAATCAAAATTTGGGGTTTGGGACCCAATTTTGGGGGTCCTGAGGGGATTTTGGGCATCCCAGAGGGGCCAAACCCCAAATTTTGGGGGTCCTGGGGCAACTTTTGGGGGTTCCAGGGAATTTTGGAGATCCAGAAGCTCAAATTTTGGGGCTCAATAATCCAAATTTTTGGGATTTTGGGGGTTCAAGACCCAAAATTTGGAATTTTGGACGTTCAAATACCCAAATTTTGAGGATTTTGGGAGCTAAAAACCCAATTTTTGGGGATTTTGGGGATGAAGAACCCAAATCTTGGGGGTTTAAAACCCAAATTTTGGGAATTTTTAGGAGTTAAACCCCCAAATTTTGGCGTTTTCAG